TCCTTAAAACGCCCTTAAGTCACGCCTAAGGATGCTGTGACCAGTCATGGCAGGGCTGGTCCAGTCAGGCCCGGCTAGCTAGCGGTTAAGTGACATAGAGTAAAGCAAAAATTATATGACAATCGGTGATGTTAGGAGAGGTTATATGACATGCATTATTTTACAAAAAATATTTGATATAATGCATGGAATCAATATTTTACATAGGAGGAGCATCTTTATTTATTAACAGAGTTGGAAAAGGTCTCATCTCGGATGATACATCATTATCTTACACTAGTGCACAATAAACTTTGTTGACCCAGGTACAACGTTGGTTTCGTGGATTAGATTTTTAATTCTGGATCACAAGAGTTTCGTTTAATTGAATCACCCATAATTTGAAATTGGATAGAGATGCTAGCCTGAGTTCTGAAAATTGAGAAAATTGATTGATATACAATTTTCCCTTGTTGTTGATTATTACTACTGATGGTTACAACTATGGCAAGTGTGTCAATCTACAGTTAAGACTGCATTGACTATTTATCTCTTATTTGCTTAGAGAAGATCTTAGTTTTGAAGAATTTATCTAAGATGACAAATTTCTTTTCATCTCGAATCCTGGTATTAACAATTTTCAAAATTACAATGATTTTTGGACCGTTATAAGAGCAAGGCTACGTTATCTTCTACGAAGACCCAATATGGATTTTTTGGATTGCTTAGTGAATAATGTATTGGTTGGTGTAAAGGTTGTTAAAAGATATCAAGGGGGTGATTTAATGAGATTCGTGTGCTGCAATTTTTTATCAGTTCCTAAGATTTCCAATTGTGTTGGAATTACACGTCAGTGTTTGGAATTTGGAAGGGCTGCTAGGTTAATTGAGCGTGTTATTACGAAAGAACGGTCTTGCGTCTTATGATTTAATCATATGCAAAGGACAATTTTTGTCTCCGTTTTTGGTAACTCTCTTCTTTTACCGTCACTAAAACAACATCAATAATTATTCTCCTTTTGATCTACTTT